TTATGGAACGGCTTAATTCCCAAAAATATCGCATCATCCTTACAACAAATAAATTGCTGATTAGCTACAAACTGTGAAAATTAGCTTTGTGAGCATTATAATAAAAATGTGTTTGAAAATAAATTTTTCTAAAGAAGAAATGGTGAATATGGTGTTCGTTTTGGGCGAAGCCCAAAGAAATATACTAAGTGACATATAAATCCGAACACCCAGTTTAAATGGTTTTATTTTCATAAAAGTTGGTGAATGTATTTATCTTACTGTAAATAACAAGTGAAACAATTTTCAGCCTTATCAGTTGGACATTCCGGTTTTTATACTGCTTTTTTTTAATTCACTAACGCTCTAAAAATGAATATTTCAGCCGCAGTAAAGAATCAACGTTGGCGGATTTTGGTTCTTGACATCCTTTACGATCGGTTACGATGCCTAGAGTACGGAGACCTGTACGATTTCGTCAACTTAGTGAGTTTGATAGGGGCCGTATAGTGGGACTTCGGGAAGCTGGACTTTCTTTTCGGGCAATTGCAGTTAGAGTGCAAAGAAGTGTAGACACTGTGGTTAGGTGTTGTCAGGCATGGCTTCGAGAAGGCCGTACGCAAAGAGCAAGGGGCACTGGACGCCGCCGTAGAACAACAGACCGTGAAGATCGCCGCCTAAGATTATTGGCCTTAAGGGACCGTTTCTCCACTACCAGGTCCATTGCAAATGAATGGTTTGCAGAACACGGAAGACCTATTGGCATGCGAAGTGTTTACCGACGAATGAGAAGTTTTGGCTTGTTTTCATACCGGCCACACTGGGTCCTCCCTTTAACTCGAGAACACCGACGTAATCGCCTTGAGTAGTGCAGACAACGGTCACTCTGGGATCAGGAATGGAACAGTATTGTCTTTACTGACGAGTCTCGATTTTGTTTAGGCATGCACGATGGTCGTGCCAGGGTTAGAAGGCGACGTGGTGAAAGGAGGAATCCACAGTTTTTTGTTGAAAGACATGTTCATCACACTGTTGGAGTTATGGTTTGGGGTGCTATAGCTTATGGTTCCAGGTCACCTTTAATCTTCATCAGAGGTAACATGAACGCGCAGCGTTATATTCACGAAGTTCTAGAACCCCATCTTTTACCCTATCTTGACACCCTGGCAGATCCAACTTTCCAACAAGATAATGCCCGACCACATGTTGCAAGAGTCACAATAGACTTCTTTCAACATAATGATGTCACATTGTTACCATGGCCACCAAGATCTCCCGACTTATCCCCAATTGAGCACGTGTGGGGTATGATGGGTAGGAGATTGCTCAATTTGCAACGTCCTCCTCAGACTCTAGAAGCACTTCGAGAGGAGTTGGTGGTTGCCTGGAATGAGATACCACAGGAGGACATTGACCACCTGATCAGAAGCATGCCTAGACGCGTTGGAGAATGCGTAGCACATCAGGGTGCATCCACACATTATTAAAGGTCAAAGGGCTTTAAAGCAGTGCAATCATTTTGAAATTTTTATCATTTACTTATTATGCTTCATTAAGTACTTTACAAAATTTTATTAAAATAAAACCATTTAAACTGGGTGTTCGGATTTATATGTCACTTAGTATAGTTTCCTAGCATCTCGCATTTATAAGCGACGACATCCACTACGAGAAAGTTGTGAATTAAGTGTAGCAGTGGAATATAGTAAACAATGTATAAATAATCCAAGTGTCACCAATGAGGCGAATTAGTTGGAGGTTCTATTAAAGTTGCTGGAAAGTCCCCATTTAAATGCACGGCAAATTGGAGCAGAAACTTATATATTTATGCGGAACCTCTGTCCAACGTATTATTCACAAGCGTACCATCCATATCACCTATGCCTGCATCAAGGCCTTGGTCCTCAGGATTTTGCAGCTCGAATGGAGTTAAGTAGAATAATGCTAAATAGAGTGAAGACACTACTTTCCTGGATAAGGTTCTTTTTAACGATGAGGCAACTTTTAACAGCAAAGGTGTTGTCAACAGGCATAACATACACTATTATGCGACGGAAAACCTTTACTGGGTTATTCAAATAGATTTTCAAATTAAATGGTGCTTGAATGTTTGGACAGGAGTTATTGGCAGACAAGTTATCTGGCCTTTCTTTTTCGACAACACATTAACAGGTACAGAATACTTGAATTTTTCGACGATCTATGCCATGGTCATCAGCAGTAAGTCGGCGATAGAGGGCCTCAAAACCTATCCAATGAACCCCTATATGTGTGGTCCGAAATTTTCGTTCAGGTGATATTTGCAATTTTGTTAATCAATCGTTTGGACTGTAGCTCTTAAAATAGAATTCCTTGTTTACATGTATAGATACCCACTTGCGTCAAACATACAGATTTTTTAAGGTGAGACACTTATCGTAGCAAGCTGAAATTTACAGGGTTTATTCTACAAGGATTTAAATATTTTTTACGATAAAATGAATAATAGAATACAACCTCAATTTTTTTTACCGCCCTCCAAAGTTGAGAAATGTAAGAGATTTTTCACAAAAAATGAATTTAAGATTTTTGCGTCGATTTCTAATAAGCTCTGTTAAAAAGTGACATACCCATTGCTACAATCACTAGTCGCCTTGAAAATTCGAGGTCTTCTAGCCATTTTATACTACAATGTGTAGGTTTGCTCTTGTTGTAGACCTCGTTTGTGATTTTTTCCCTCTCCATCTTTGTTTCCTCAGGTTACACCCGTATCCGGATGTATGAGCATTTGTGTGTACTTTTGTAGTTGCATATGAGCATTCATTTCGGGCCTGATGAAGCCAACCAGCAGAAATACGTATCGCTCGGGTTACCTATCCTATTTTCTGCTCGAATCCACTCTCCTTCTTTTTGCGGATTTTGCCCATGATTTTCCTATTTTTGTTATATACATTTCTCAGCATGATTATTTTCTCTTTGTAGATCCTTTGGGCTTGAAGTACCACAGCAAGTGGCTATAACCGGCCGCGTGGTTGTGGCTAGATGTCGGCTTGAAAATCCGAGGTCTTCTAGCCATTTCATACTACAATGTGTAGGTTGGCTCTTGTTGTGGACCTTGTTTGTAATTTTTTTCCCTTTCCATCTTTGTTTGCTCATTTTACACCCGTATCCGGATGTATGAGCATTTGTATCTACTTTTGTAGTTGCATATGTGCATTCATTTCGGGCCTGATGAAGCGAACCAGCAGAAATACGTATCGCTCGGGTTACCTATCCTATTTTCTGCTCGAATCCACTTTCCTTCTTTTTGCGGATTTTGCCCATTATTTTCCTATTTTTTGTTATATACATTTCTCCGCATGATTATTTTCTCTTTGTATATATATATATATATATATATGTATAGAAATATTGCAGCAATATTTTGTAACGATTTGGAAACAATTATTACGATTATTACAGTGTACGATTTCTGAAATATTTCTGAAAAATATTGTGCTGTATGGGGAGTTCAAGCGCATTATTTAATACATAATCCAGAAGTCTTACAATTAACTACACTAAACCCGCGGCACTGCTAGCGTGGGAGTAGTGTAAGTATAGGCCAAGTTAATTTCAAAGGTGTAATCACGATAAATATTACGTGAACCATCTCACAGCCTGTGTGGCATATCTTAACATGTATGCTTAGAGTAATGTAGCAATTTTGTAAGTATAAGTTGTCCATTGATTTAGAATGAACGCTATTTATTGTATTATTTGATTTTTCGGGTTTCAACCCGGGAGCAGGCGTCGTATAATAGTAAATCATGGTTGTAAATGCATTCCTACGACGTTCAATAATTGTCTTTCATGATGTCTGGATTTACATTTTTGACAATCAGTCGAGTCCCATTGCCCACCTTTGGTGGACTCAATTATCACAAATTCTTAGAGAAAAATGTAGAGTTTGAAAAAGTTCATCTAAAAGTGACCTTAATCGCGACCATATGACCTTGTAAGTTCATTTTAGAGCATCCAAAAGGTATGGAGAGAAGAAGATTTCTCGAAAAATATGCTACCCAGAGAATAATGTTGTATAGTATATTTGCAAGTCTTATAAAGGGTGACATAATGGTGACCTTGAAGGTCACATTGACTACGACCTTTTACGATGACTCAACATTTATAGGGAGATATAAAATTGCTGGAAGCAATAGTAGGAATTTCAGGATAAATGATTCGTTTGATCTTCAATCGACCTTAAACGACACAGTCAAGGTGCAGTCAAGACCTTAGTACTGACCTTGACTGTAAAATGTTTCGTTTTGTCATACCCTGATCAAAAAAGTAAGGACTTCACTTGAAAATTCATCTGATTTAGAAAAGACCTTCTAGGTCATGGTCAAGTTCATTGACTAGGATATGCTTGAACTTATTACTTGTCCGCAATTTGCATCCCAGGAATTATAAAATAGGTGATTCCCGTAAAAATGCATTAGTTCTTCAAATGACCTTGATGCTCATAGTCAAGGTAGTTGACTTAAAGTTTCTTGGTCTTTATATTTCCAGTGTCAAAAATAGGGGTTTCCATTTGAGAAAAATATCTTGACCTTCAATTGAGCTTGAAGGTCGCATTCGAGGTCACCATAAGATGAATCCCTTCAAACCTCAAAACTCTACTACACAACATTCTTCTTTATCAGAGATATTTTAGCATTTCCCTACTTTCTGGACATCCTCAAATACCTATAAAAGTAATGGGCAAGGTCATAGGCAAAGACACTTTACGTAAAATTTCAAGCTCTTTACATATCCAGTGTGTTTGATAGTGGTTTCGTATATTGTATTGACCCGCAACTGGCCTTGAACGTCATAGGTCAGGGTCTCGTTCAATATTACCATCAGGTGAATCTTTTTAGACCTTACAATTTTGTTATATACTTTACTCTAGGAAACGTTTTTTCGAGATATTTTGACGTCTCTCCGTTTGTGGTTGAGACGTTATGCTGACCGACTGGACAGAAATTCACAAATATAATAGAGATCATTTTATTTTTTAGGGATTGTGATAGTCCCAGATCAGTACATCCAGAATGTAATCCCATTCCGATCCCACCTGGAGACCATTACTATCCTGAGGTCAACATCACATCAGGTGGACGTATGTGTTTCCCCTTCATGAGATCATTACCTGGACAGCAGCGGCTTGGCCCAAGGGAACAGGTGTGCAACAAATTTTACCTTCTATAACTCGTGCTTGTTATTATTTCGTGGTTAAGCTCCTTAGAATATTCCAACACAATTCTCACCAAAAGCACATACATATAACACCTTTGAGCTTAACAACAAACTAATGTCGATATTTGCATTGCAGAATCTAACACGAATTTTATTGTTTGGTACAGTTTCAATAATCATTTGATTATAATTAAACTTGTGCTGAGACAGTGCATTGATTTTAGTTCGATTTGATATGATTATTATGCGTTAAATATGGTTAATATAATAGGTGAATCAAAATACAGCCTTCCTGGACGGATCGCAAATCTACGGTGAAAATCATTGCGTATTACGTGATTTGAAAGGTCAATTTGGTAAAATGAACGCCACAGCTCATCCAGTTAGAGGAAAGGAACTTCTGCCCCTTACTGACAAGCATCCAGAGTGCAAAAGTAAATCAGGACACTGCTTCGTTGCAGGTAAGTCCTTACATCTCAATCACTACAAATACGTAGTATTATTGCTAATGAAGAACCAATTCAGCGAAGTTTGGCATAAGCTACTCTTACACTCAACCAAATAGATGAAAAAAATACGTAGGGATACATCCACAGACACTCTTAAAATAATAAAACAATAATGAAGGCAAGATATTTCAACTAAACATAGCATGAATCCAATGATGTAGCTCTATAGTTATTACTTCTTCTTAATATTTTGGAATAACGTTGTTTAACTTTTGAGGAATGGCATATTTAAGAAACGGATATGATCTGTTATTAATCTGAACTCTATTTTTCTTTTCAGGTGACGGCAGAGCTTCCGAACAGCCAGGTCTAACAGCGATTCATACAATATTTATGAGGGAACACAACAGAATATCCGACACTTTACGTATGATTAACCCGCACTGGAATGAAGACAAGGTCTTCGAACATGCTAGAAGAATAGTCATAGCTGTGAATCAGCATATAACTTACAATGAGTTTCTTCCTAGGATATTAGGTAAAATTAATAGTAGTTGTAGATGTTTTTTTCCTTCCCAGGAACCATCGGACCAAAGTCCCCGATGGCATTGCGGCCTCTTGGGTTTATTGCACCTTGCTCCGCGAATTTACAGTACCCAGTCCAGCATTCTAGTGTTCTGTACTAGCTGGTACAGTTTCCTTGCCCATACTGTTCTAAACTCCCTCGATTCTAGTTTTGGTTTCCCAAAGAGCAAGAGTATTTGGACATGATCCCGAGATAAATTATTTCCCATGCCTACACCAGTCACTAAGTACCACTATTCCTGCTGGTTTCTCACCCATTCTTTGACTTGGTTTCTTATTCTGCTATTAGGCACCCGAAGGTAGGTTCTGGGCCAGTTTTCATAGTCAAAGTAAGTAACAGACAAAATATACATTTTGCGTTATATTATCAGAACAATCCAGTCAACATCAGTTGCTTCTGTTAATTATTGCAATACATCAGTTTCGACTCCAGCGTTGCGAACTTGTTCCCGCCTGTTGATGAAACTGTGAAGAGATCAACTGTGTGCTTATCCGCACATGCCAGACATCCTAAATTGCATTTTTTGAGAAAGAATGCAACGCTTCAGTTATACTTGGAACAAATCAAAGCTGTAAGCTCTTTATCGATCGCTTGTACAATCAATCCGACTCACAGCTTGCTCTGGTCGTGAGCTGGAAAAAGAAAGACTAGCAGCGAGTTCCTCTCTGACGACAGACCACTGCTTGGGGACTCAAAAAAGTTTAATGCTTCCAAAACACAGTATTGTACCTTCACTAAAAAGAAGCGCCCTAGCGCTCATCCGGTTTCGATGTATGGCAGAATTCTCCCAATGAGCCGTTCATTTCGGCTGGTCGGAGTCCAGATCACCAAGGACTTGATCTGGCACATATCTCGTCAATAGCGGCAGCTGTTGGGAAAACTCCTACTACGCAGGGCCATGGCAAGTGCTAGTTCCGGAAGTTGTATACAACTTCTTCCCGGTAAAGTGCTTGTACACGCGTTAAGGAATACCTCAGTACCGATTGCCGGTTGGAAGTACAAGCAAAAAGAAGGTGGGGGACAAGGACCAGTCAACCAAGGCGGTACCACCCGCTAGCTTTTTCAGGGTGTATTAAGATGCCCGCATGTTTCCAGCAGCCTTTCCTGCTCCAGAAACGTTTCTTTGGAATCAGGACGGAAGGACCTTCTGTAACCTCCCCTCAACTCCTAAAGATCCTTCATATTTATTTGTCGCCTTTATCGCTCTCCCTCGGACCACAACTAGGATGGTCTACTTGAATACCTCGCTGTCAAGATCGACATCATGAACATCAATCACCCTGCTTCACAGGTAGTTCTCGATGCAGCAGATCGTACTGTTGAAGCATTTGCTATTACCAAAGGACTGACCCTAATTTTGCCCCCGCCAGTAGCCAGCTGGATCTCTTTCTGTCCACGCATTTTGTCCACGGTGTTGTGGTTAGGTTTCGGTCATAACAGGCTGTGGCAGCAGAAACTCGCCCAGGCCGCAAAATTTAGCATTACGGACATGCCAACTGGGAGAGGCTCAGAGACTGTTTCTCCGCCTTTCTTTGCGAAATGTTTGTTTTGCTAGCGCAGATGCATCGGCAGTCTGTTCATCAATTACAGAAATTATCTACGTTGGGATGGAGAAATACACCCCTTATGCAGTGAAAGTGCCTAAACTAGGGTCCATCGGCCGGTTCAACAAATCGTACAACACCGCTCGTCAGCAGAATATCAAGCTACATAGAACCTTCTTACAAAATCCCACTGAAGACAACAGATAGGCCGACGCGGTCCGCAATGCTAAAGACCAGCAGGATGTAAAAATTAGGCACAGGATAATGTCGCATTGCTATGGCAGTCAATCTTTCTGCTAAGCAGATTGAAAGGAACTTCTCTCAAAGTAGCTCTCCACCACTTATGTACCATGATGAAACTATTGCAGCCGGTTGCAAAAGAGTAAGGCGTAAATGCTTGCCAAGATCTTTGCTGCTAACTCCACTATGGAACCCCCCCTCTCGCCGCCCCTAAGTGTCACGTGACAGTAACATTCCATCAGGTAATAAAAAAGGATATGCCTGGCACGTGTTAAACACATTCTGTGAGGTGAATCTTATTCATTTCTTATCGCGCATGTTCGTGTGTGTGAGCCACCAATGGCATAATTGCAAACCAACCCGCTTATCGGCATCCATTTTGTTTTGGTCCATGTATGTGCATATGGAAGTAAAACAACACGGTAGGTAGTGTTAAATGACTATTGTTTATCGAGGTATTCTCCACGAAGATTAATACACATCTGCATGCGCTCGAACCAATTTTCGAAGCACTTATTCCACTCGTTTACTGGCAGATCCAAAACGGCATGTTTGAATGCGTCAAACTGATTCTTCTGGTGACTGGAACCTTTGACCACGCAGTCTGTTTTTAATTTTCGGGAAAGTAAAGAAATCGTTACGACTAAGGTCGGGACTATATGGAGGATGGTCCAATAATTCCACGTTTTCTTCCGTTAAATACTGCCTTTATTTTGGGCTGTGTGCGGCTTGCATTGTCTTGGTGGAGGATGATTCTTCTTTCGGGGTTGATTTTTCGAAGCTCGGTGATGATTTTTGGCAAACAAATGGTGGTATGCCAATCCGCAGTAACAGTTCTTTGCTCATTAAGAGGAATTGTTGCAATATGACCCGCTTTTGACACAAATGTCGTGACCATCTTTTTCGAAACACTTTGAGAACGGATGACTTTTGTTGGCTTTTCTTGGCTTTTCTTCACCGTGGAACACCCAAACAGCCGACTGGCGTTTATTTTCTGGTTCATAACAGTAAATCCATGATTCATCACCACTAACAATGCTGTACATACACATTTTTTGAGTTTCCGGAATTGAAACGGTCAAGCGTTTTTTGACACCAATTAACCCTGGCTGCTTTCTGCTCTTCAGTCAACAGGTGGGGTATCCAACGAGAAACTAATTTTCTTACTCCTAATTCTTCATGTAAAATTTTTTTAATTGAGGTCTTTGAGATCTTCAAGGAGGCCTTAATCTCGCGATATGTCACATGACTATCTTCAATGATGAGTTTGCGCACAGCAGCGACGTTTTCCTGGGTGACTGCCGTTTTTGGTGCACCCACCCTGGGATCGTCGCTAAGACTCACCCGTCCACGTTTGAATTCTCCATACCAACGGGAAATTGTCGACTGATGTGGCACTTCGTTGCCGAAAACAGACAGTAACTCAGCAAGGCATTCTTGTTGCGATAATTGTCTCTGAAAGTTGTAATAAATTATGGCGCGAAAATGTTCTCGGTTGAGTTCCATTTTTCTAATGACTTGGTGACACTTAAAAATTCACTCTAGTGAGACCACTGCACGGATTGTTGTGAAAATTTGAATTTAAGTTTAGTAAAGAGTGAGGTTAAGATTCAGTACTGACGTTCGATCCGCGCGGCCTACTATGTTTCTATATGCAAAACTTAAAAGACATCCCTCGTATTAGAGGATATTACTTGAACATGCCTCGCAAATGATTTTGTTTGCTAACAATTTGCTTCATTTTAGGTTGGAACGCGATGAACCTCTACGGCCTGAAACTACATCCTCATGGCTACTACAAAGAGTACAATCCCACATGCAACCCTTCCATAGTAAATGAATTTGCATGTGCGGCATTTAGAATTGGGCATTCGCTATTGAGGCCGCATATTCCACGACTCAGCCATACATATCAGATCATCGAGCCACCTCTTCTACTTAGGGATGGCTTTTTCAAGACCGACATCATGATGAGAGAGCATATGGTCGACGAAATTGCACGAGGGCTAGTGTCCACACCGATGGAGACACTTGATCAGTTCATTACTGGTAAGTTTTTCTACATTATGGCGCAAAGTTAACGTTATTAAAATGTCGTCGTCGATATTCTGCCTTTCTTACGCGTACTCTTCAATAGCTTTCGGGCGTTTTACTGCGATCTCGTTGAGAATATCAAATGAGAATGTTTCTTGACTTAGTCATATAGACATCTTGCTTCTCGAGTATCCTCAAAGTAATAATCACATTAATGCTCAACTGACTCATGTTCCTGTTCTCGAACCTTCCGTAATTTCTTACGTGTTACTACTAACTCTCCAAATCAAAGAAAAGCTTTGCATATTTCGAATTTTACATTTTATCCAGGTGAGGTGACGAACCATCTATTCGAAGATCGCAGGATTCCATTTTCTGGAGTAGATCTCATATCCTTGAACATTCAACGTGCCAGAGACCACGGTGTACCCTCTTACAATAACTATAGAGCTCTGTGTAACCTGAAGAGAGCAACTAGTTTCGAAGATCTGGCCAGAGAGATACCTCCAGAGGTCATTGCTAGACTGAAACGGATTTATGCTACCGTGGACGACATTGACCTCTTTCCTGGTGGTATGAGCGAGAGACCTCTACAAGGAGGTCTGATTGGACCTACGTTTGGATGCATCATAGCTATTCAATTCAGGCAGTTGAGAAAATGCGACAGATTTTGGTAAGTTTGTTGAAATATTTAAGTCTCATCAGGATCATATTCATATAGGTAACACAGGTATAACGAAGAGATCAACAAACAAACTGAAAAGTAAGAACATAACTAGCAACTACATGTATCCCTGACGTGATTCCATACGACAATAAAATAAATATAGATACTCATGCTAGGCTGAATATTAAACCTCTCAAAACATACGGCAATGATCTATCCCCTAATATCCATAATTATTATCAAGTATCTTTATCACGACTTTAGCGACACAACAAACAAGAATCATGTTCCTTATTTTGTATTATTAGGTATTGCCAATATAGAAATGCATGTGAATTATCAGTAGAAGATGATTATTGACCAGACGGTATCATGCGAGTTATACATAATAGTAGTAGTTATAATGTCTTAGCAAAAAATAATGGATCAATTCCAGTAAAAACAATTATGCAAACTGAGCCACACTTTACACTCTAGTTGAAAAAAGACTAGGAAAAAGTGTATATCGAAATTCGCCCATACTATCTGCATAAAAAATCCGTAGTAATAAAAATTTCAGTGAATTAACGTTATTCACCCGAAATGAGGGACAACAAAAATTATCTGAATCTAATGTTTGCAATATTTCGAATTCTTTAACTGAAAATTCCTTCACTCGTATCTCAAACTGCTTATTATATAACAGGCCTATCACATACTTTAGTCGAATTAACTTATCTACTTCTTGTGGGAAACTTCGGAAACAAGTTCGTCTCGCTTGGCATCTACCGGTGGACTGTCAGTTCCGAATGTCACTCAGTTCTCATGTTAATGGATGAAAATTTTAATTTTGGGACAGCTCCAATGATAGAGATGATTTAATATAGACCTTAACAAAATAATAATAAAAACTAACGAAATTACGTACTAACACGAAGTTTTGGACATTTACCTTACTCGGGATTGCAATTATGTGAAGCAATTGCTAAAAAGTCTGAAAGGCAGCTCACCTTGCAACATAAAGGTAAACCAGCATCCATAAATGTCAAAAATTATTTACGATTTTTTTAATACTTTAGCTATAACGGAAACTTTTGAGCATACATAATATTGATAATTGTGGATAATCCAAAATTAGAAGTACTTTATTTTTTTAGGTATGAAAACGAGGATCCTGTAGTACGATTTACGGAAGCACAACTGGCTGAAATGAGAAAAATTACACTAGCTAAAGTATTGTGCGACAACATGGACATAGAAGGTGAAATGCAAAGAGCAGGATTCGATCTGCCATCAAATTTCCTTAACCCTAGGTTTGTAAAAATGAAAACTGCAATCCATCTTTGTATAACTTAGGTATTGTTATGTAGGCTGTGGCACCGCTGTCTTTCGGGTACTCCTTGATATTCAGATGATTGACGATCAATAGTTCAGATAGATAATTGAAAACTATCACACACATATTTTGTTTGCAGCCTAATACAGGGTGGCCCCAGGAAAAGGTCGCACCCCCATTTGTGACTCTCCTGGTATATTTTGGGAAAGAACGCTCGGACACGTCAATTTTGATTTCTATGGGAACGTCTTTTCATCTATAGCCGTACAATACAGGGTGATAAAAAATAAGATATTGCGTTACAATTAAGATTTTTAAATGGAAACCCCCATTTTTTTTTAATTTCTAGATGTTCCATGAAGTTTTTAGTAACTTTTGTATAATAAAGTTTAACCTACCTTCAATAGTTGTGAAGCTATTTGAGTTTGTAATAAAAATCGATTAAGTGAACTTAATACTGATAATAATGGAATGCACGGCAAAAAATAATAATCATGGATACCAGCAAGAACATTTAGCATTAGTCAGTGACATCATATGTCATAGAAAAACTTTGTCTTTCATTTCAAATTGTTAAGTCACCTATCAGTGACTTATTCAATTCAAGAATGGGTAGAAATAACAAAACTGTATTACCAAAACGGGAGCTTTGCAAGAGCTACTGCTCGGTTGTTTAATGCCTTACATCCAGATAAATATTAACGATGAGAATGTGGGTAAGTTGATAATAAAATTTGAAGAAACTGAATCTGTGACTAGTATTCACCGTAATCTCCTTCTGGAGAATTGACCAGTTAGGAATGAAGCCGAATAAATAGCTGTTTTGGGACACGTAGCACTTGACAACACCCAAAGCACTCGTGGACTGGCTACTTCTTCAGGATTTATACGCTCAACAGTTCAAAGAATTTTGAAAGACAATAAATACTACCCACATAAAACTAGCTAAATGAAGACGATTTTGACAGAAGGTTGGAGTTTTGCGAATTAATGTCCCAACGTTTAACCAACAGTGCAAATCTGTTAATTGATATTTATTTCTCGGATGAGTGTACGTTCTTTTTACATGTTGCTGTTAATAGACATCCTTGTTGATATTGGAGTGACTCGAATCCACAATTATTGTCTCGCGAGGTTCACTTGCAATATCCTGAAAAAATAAATGTGTGTGCGGGCATTTTCGGAAATCATATTGTAGGTACCTTTCTTTATTCTTGGAAACTTGACGGGCGAGACCTACTTTGGACATGTTAGAAAATACAATAGCCACGAATTACAGAAATAATAGAAAATGACGTTAATTATAATGAAAATTACATTCGTTTCCAAAAAGATGATGCACCGCCGCACTATGCGACTCCAGTGCGACAGTTTTTGGACACCCATTTCCCGAATCAGTGGATCGGCAGACGAAGCTCCATCGAGTGGCCGCCGAGGTCTCCAGACCTAAGTCCTTTAGACTACTTTTTTCGGGGGCATTTTAAAAGTAAAGTTTATAGTACGAAGCGAGATTCCGTTCAAAATCTTCGTCAGCGGAATTTAGACATTTGTCCACATTCAGCCGTAAGTTATTTAACTTAAGACATGCTTGAAAATGTGAGGAATAGATTCGAACAAAATCTTTATTATTGCATGGAGGTAAATGAATACCACTTTCAGCACGTATTACCACATTGACCTGTCATAGCAAATTAATTTTTACTTTAACTTTAATGTTCCTGTAAAATGTAAATTGTTTTTTGGTTTTTTAGTTCTCCGAGACTTGTTTTTAATTTTAATGGAAAGTCTGGTTACTATGGCAACTATACTGATTATTTTGACTCTATAATCCCTTATCACAATGTCTCGAATTTTATTATAAACTCAAATATGTAGCTCCACAATGATTGAAGATAGGTATAAACTATATTATACAAAATTTACTAAAAGGGAATCTCAAAATTAAGAAAAGGGAGGTTTCCATGTAAAAGTTTAAAGTGAAACGCAATATCTTATTTGTGGATCACCCTGTTTTGTATGGCTACGGATGAAAAGACGTCCCCTTATAAATCAAAATTGACTTATCTGAGCGTGTTTCCCAAAATGTACCAGGAGAGTTAAAAATATGGGTGCAACGAAAAGTTGGGCCACCCCGTATAAGGGACATCACACCGCACATAATTGGTTTTTGAATCTCGTTATCAGTCACAATTCCAACCATTTCTGTAATATCCAAAACCCCATCCATTTTGTTTGTGCAGGGTCTGTCAATATTAAGGATTATTTTTAATAAGCAGGGATTCGAGAATTTACCTTACTGATGTTTTCCTTTAACAGAGTTCCTTGCCGATCGCTACCCTCTATCAACTTGAATGCTTGGAAGGAGCAAAGCCACGGTGAAGGTTGTATTATTGGGGACAAACAAGTACAAGTCGGAGCGTCAGCATTCCCCAGTCCTTGCACAAGTTGTGTATGCACACAAGAAGGGGTAAGTACTTATACTTTTGATATACTACATTCGTCATTATCCCAACGCACAGTGGTCTAGAACACCGAAAAGCTGGCAATAAAGACATTTTCTACGCACAAGGGACTTCTTGGGGTTGCTTATTTCAAATCTGAGGTTAGTTTGTTTCTATGAGGACATTTGAATAACACGTCAAAGCCATATTAAAAGAAGCCGACCAATTGATCCCAACCGCATGTCAGTTAGGTATGTTTACTAAAGTCCGAATCACTTGGTCACTGAAGATCATTTCATGGTTACCTACTTAAGGGACAAAATCAAGCATTAGAGTCTAGATGCCATATAGATCCTCGAGATCGATGAGTCCAAATCAAAGATAGAAAGGTGTTGGAGAGTATTTTGAGACCAATCAAAGAACACGTTCGAAACAGTTGAATAACCGTTCACAACCACCTGTCATAATACGGCAGTATACAGGGTGTTTCAGTTTATTGTTGCATAACTTTAAGATTCGATAGAACTTTTAAAATTAATGCATAAAGTCTATATAAACATGGGTCGAAAAATGCGTGGCTTCCGGAATACAGGGTGTTTAAATTTACTTTCTAAAATAGTTTTTTCCAATATTTCGAACAATATCTGATGTATAACAGTGAAAATTGGTATACAAGGGTTTTTTGGTACGACAAAACGAACCATAGTTTTACTGTAGCCGCTAGAGGGCGCTCTCTACTGTACCTGTAGTGTATTAAAATGACCAAAAAAATTTTCTTAGTGGAATTTTTTGCTTTTTGAATAAAAAAACTGATTCTTCGCACTTTTCAACATAAAAAAGCTCTCTTGTGAATTTTCGTTATAGTTAGCCGTTTTTGAGATATTTCGATTTTTAAGAGTCGATGCATTTTTAATTATTTATGATAAAATAACGTTAAAAAGTCAGTATATCGATAATTTTTATAAGTAGGCTGTGCCTGCAAATATTTTTGAAATTGAAAGCAGAATAAGGTTAAACGTCAATTAGTTGACAGTTAGTTTTGTTGTCTGTTGAAACCTGAAACGTTTTTTTGCAATTGTGAATGCACGAAATTTAGTTTCTTTTACCTGTTTTTTTTTTTTGTAAGTTTTATAAAAATGCCATTTTTATTCTCCAATCAAGAGTTAGCGGATATTCATTTTGTGTATGGCTTTGTAAATGGAAACGCAGCAGAAGCAGCCAGAGAATACGCACGAAGATTTCCAAACAGACGACATCCAACTCGCTCAGTATTTGTAAGAGTGCATCGCCAAATAATTGAAAATGGTTTTGGAAATCTCCAAAGGGATCAAAACATAAATTTTCGTCAGCGCAGATGTACCCGTATCATTCTGCGTGAGTTTGATAGAGATCCGACCGCAAGTGTTAGGAGAGTTTCTGGTGCCTTGGGAATTTCAGCAAGCCATGTTCACCGTGTTCTTAGAAATGACCATAGACGTCCTTACCATTTGCAACCTGTGCAAGGACTACAGCCAGGGGACGGAGAACGAAGAATCACATTATGTCAGTGGATTCTTGATAGAACTGATAATAATAGGGAGTTTTTAAGTAACGTTTTATGGACCGATGAGTCATGCTTCACTAGACGTGGAGTGGTAAATTATCATAATCAACATATTTTTTCGCATGAAAATCCGGCATGCAGTTCGGGAAAGAAATTTTCAGCATGAATTTAGTGTGAACATGTGGATTGGTATCTACCGTAATCGACTATTTGGACCCTACCTTTTGCCTGCAAGGTTAAATGCTGCGACCTTCTTGGAATTTTTAAAGCCTGAACATGCAAATATGTGGGATGATGTTATGTTAGATTTAAGAAGATTGGCCTGGCTCCAGCTTGATGGTTGTCCAGCTCATTGTTCGAGAATAGTTAGAAACTGGCTGGACGAAAATTATCCAGAAAGATCGATCGGCCGTGGAGGACCAGTCGCCTGGCCTCCACGATCCCCTGACCTAAATCCATTAGATTTCTTTGTGTGGGGATTTCTAAAAGAAAAAGTTTACCAGACTCCCGTAACCACAAGAGATATGCTAATAGACAGAATCAGGAATACATGTGATGAAATAACGCCTTATTTGAATAATGTGAATTGTGTATTGAACAATTGGGTTTACATTTCGAGCAACTACTTTAGATTTTGTATGTTTGTCCTAACTATCCAATAGCATTTTAGTTGTAAATAATTAATTTAATTTGTCAAAAATAATATTGGAAAATTAAACAAATTAATATTCTGTTTTTTGTGTTTATTTGGAGTTAGGAATTATTGCTGTGTTTAACAAAACAATCTAAACGATCATCTTAATTACTTGTAATGCCCAAATCGAAAATGTAAAAAAAATATTATTTTCCCATAAATAATTAAAAATGCATCGTACCTTAAAAATCGAAATATCCCAAAAACGGCTAACTATAACGAAAACTCACAGGAGAGCTTTTTTATGCAGAAAAGTGCGAAGAATCAGTTTTTTTATCCAAAAAGCAAAAAATTGCACTAAGAAAAAATTTTCGGTCATTTGAATACACTACAGGTACAGTAGAGAGCGCCCTCTAGCGGCTACAGTAAAACTATGCCCATGGTTCGTTTTGTCGTACCAAAAAACCCTTGTATACCAATTTTCACTGTTATACATCAAATATTAATTTTAAAAGTTCTATCGAATCTTAAAGTTATGCAACAATAAACTGAAACACCCTGTATAAGGTTATATATTCAGTGACGTTAGAAGTGTTACTACACCCATAAAAAAATGATTTCTTCAACTTGATTTTTTGACAATGAGGTAGTCTTACATTACGAATGAAACGATAACATTCTCACGAAATTTTATTGGCAAGTTTTAAGAAAAATGTTAATAATATGTTGGGCGACCCCGCAGCTGAATACACTCTTGTATACGTCTAGGCATTGACAAAATGAGATGATGGATGTCTGGTAGTGGCACCTCATTCCAAGCAACTCGAACTTCGTGGATTAGATGTGGCACAGTCTGTGGCAGATGGTGCAAAGTGAATAGTCTCCTCCCCATCATATCCCACACATGTTCGATGGGATTTAAATCCAGTGAACGGAGTTGCCGCGGCAAAACATTATCGCCTGCTTCTTGAAGAAACTCCATAGTACGACGAGCAATATGGAGAAGGGCATTGTTTTGCTGAAAAAGGTCGTGTGGACGACCCGCAAGATACGGCAGTGAACTGATTTGTAGGACATCATCAACGTAACGCGCAGCAGTCATATTGCCTTGAACAAAGAGAAGGGGTGATCGGCTACCATAGGTCTCCCAAACTATTACTCCAACAGTCCTGTGTACTTTTTCAGCAAATCCAAGATGACGCCGTTATCCACCCTTCTACGACCTATGCCTTCTTCTATACACACACGACACACACGCATTACCGTCATTGCAGTAAAATTATCAGGGCGGCCAAATTCGCGATAGGACAAACCAACATCTCGATAGGCAATAATTCTACCCCTGTCAAAGTCGCTAATTATGTTTCTCAGCCACAACAAGGAGTTTTTAAAAAATATTTATTTTGTAGACATGAACGTGTTACAAGTTGGAATGATAATGAATTAAAATATAAAAAGAAAAATAGTTTTAATAAAGGTTTCTGCTGTCGTTGCGACTGGCGGTGTCGTCTTGCTGACGCCTCGGGTTCTTGACCTATAACGCCTCCCTCGCTAAGCTGAAAGTCCGTCCTCGGACTTTTTAGGTTTTCCAAGTCGGCAATGGAAATTTTCGGCTTGAAGAAAAGCGTCTGGAGTCTTCTTCTTTTTCTTAAGACGAAGTAAATGCTCGCTGTGACGATGATGAGCATTAGGGTTGCCATGGACCAAGTTGTTGTAGACGTCACTGTAGGGCTTAGATGTAAGGGCTGTATGGCCGATAGCTGTGGTACATCTTTGAGTGGCTGCAACTCGTTGATCTGTAAGTTAAACTTTGGGCGGATCTTTATAGGGATGATATCAGGAACTTCGATTTGCTCTGAAGTAGTGCTGTAAATCTGTCCATTAATTTCGATTGGGCATGAAGAATAAACAATTGCTGCTTGACTAATATTTCGGTGAGTCTGGGAACATCTTTCAACGATTTGGATTGGCTCATTTGTACTGACGATCAGGTTTTTCTTTGTTTGGTGGATGACAGGCTGGGAAAGCTTGGCAGTGGTACAATTTTCTAAGCTGGGAAGCTGACATCTTGTGGTGGAAGCGGGTTGACATACGATTTTTGGTCCTACATCGGTGCATGTAGAATACCAGCGATTATCTCCATAGAAAGTTGCAGGAGGCAGTAGTACAATGTTTTCTTCATTATGTATGGGATAAATATGGTAAAGTCGGAAAGAGTGATCATTAAGGATCGGGATTTTGAAAAGGATGAGTAACTGAGTATTTGTGGTAATTAATGAACAACGTGAATTTTCGATAAGTTCAAAGGGATGTGAATTATCTGATAAAAGAGAATTTGATTTATATAAAGATTTTAGCTTTTCTTCTAAGTCAGTGATTTCGGAAAGTGAAAATAATTCTATGTTCGGTTGTTCTAGTGCAGATAGGTTTATACTTCTAATAAGCTTTAAAATGAATTGATTCAAACGATCAATATTACGAATTTCGCTTTGAAGAGTAATAAACTGCTGGAATTCATCTCTAAGAAAATTAATATCTTGTGTGATTCTCACTGTATTATTATTTATGGTTTCAATCAGAATATTATATCTTTTTATTGTTTCTGATGCATAACTTGTCGAATTATTAAGCACATTGATTATACGATTTTGTTTATTTTCGACACTGAAGATGTGCCTTTCCAAAAATATACGATCGTTTTCGTCAAGGTTGCCAGTCACTGATTTAATAAAAGTTCCCAAAAAGTTAGCAATTCCTCGCCTTTGACGGGGTCGGATTATTTTATGAAAATTGTCAAGTGTCTCGGAATAGAGATGGTTATATTGTTCAAATATTCGGTAGTTGGAAGT